AAACTATTGTCTTCATGACACGGATAGCTCACGACGGTTCTATAACCACTTGGTGTACTGCCAGTCACTGATTCTGCTTGCCGCAGCATCTGACAGGCCTGGCCCAAGCATTATAGGTAGTACTACTGGACTGCTCGCCCGTGTCTCAGCATGCATTGCAGATGTCGGAATAAATGATGCCAGAACGTTGGCTGGACTGAAAGAACAAGATCTCGAAGTGTATCAGACAGCTCGCCGCGTATATTGGACTGCGTTGATCATAGACCGTTTCCACGCGTCTAGTCAATCGACGGACATGATGATTCGACGATACTCTGGAACACTTTCGCGAGACGATTACTCAGCCCTGGGTGAAGTCGCTTATTATCTCGCTCGTAAGTGCAAGCTCTTTCCATTGATGACTATCCGAGACTAATCTTCATCAGGTGTTGCCCTACTCGTTGGCCGCATAGCCTACGTCAATCGCGCAGGAAGCATCCCAAATGTTGACCCAGCAGCTCCTTTCGCCTTTTCCGCGCTCAAACCCGGAACCACGGAGTCAGAGTACCTCAACGGAGCACTAGATGAAATCAAACAGTCCATCGACCTGACCACCTTGACGAGTAATTCGCCCCCTCATCTGGCGCACCAGTATCTCAGAGTATTCATCGCGCGACTTTCAGGCCAGAATCTGCCTTCTGCCGAGGTCCTCGAAGTCACCAAAGACCTGCTCAGTAACCTCATGAGTGGCGCCATCACTCCCTTGCACCACATCTTCGCCGCCCTAGTCGCCACATCCCTCACCGAACTAAACGACCGAGGCGAACTAAAAGCAGAAGCAAGCGCAACCATCAAAGAAATGAGCGACGCGCTATCAAACGGCCAAATCATACACCGCAGTTCCGACGGTCTAGGCTGGGAAACAGCAATCGGCGACCTACTCCACAAGAAGAAGTCTTCCACACCTCCCTACACCGGTCCCGAGCAAGCCAGCCCCGCGCTCGAACCCAACATGGCCGGCCTGCAACATCTCGCTGCTGCCGCAGTGGGAGAACGAGAAGGAACGGGTGATAATAACCGTCCTGATAGTTCTTCGCAGCAGAAGGTTGATAATGATCTTTCGGCTGCTATGGCGGCGGCGAATGAGGCTGCTAAGGCGCAGGCGACTGCTGTTGCGGCTCAGGATCTGTTTCATTAGATGTGGTGGGCGTGGTTGTGGTTGTGTGATGCGTGTCTTCTTTTTTGTAGTGGATATACCCCTTTTAGCGGTGAGCTGGTATGATGGTCTGAATTGTAGGCTTGTATTATTTTGTAATGAGATTCGTTTGTCTACTTGCTCTACTGAAAGCTCGAGGAACCTGAGATGTTGCGTCTCACTTATGCCACAGCCTGAAGGTATTCGTATTGTTCAACTTTGACGAGCTACGACACAGAACATGACCTTTGCCTTCACAATATATGTCTCCTCATTCTGAGCTATGTAGGTTTAGTTGCATACGTGATTTTGCGCACTCTACTTCCACCACGCTAGCATAAACTCAATTTGCCCTCCTCAAGGTTGACTGATTCTGTATGCGGAACATTGTCAAACCGTATCGTTAATAGGAATCCACTCTGCAAGCGGAACATCTTTGATGGCCGCATACTACGCAGAATTCCTGCCAACCAGACATTGGCCCATCACTACACATACAACAATACCACACCTGTTCGCCTTTACATGTAACGAACCCCTCCGATAACGAGACGTTTTGTAGCGACCCCGGTTCCTTTTTGGAATTTAGGTATGTACCTGGTCTCGTGTTACTGCAAATTTGAGTATCAGCTCTTGACACAATAACGGTAGGAATGCAACATACTGTACTACAAGCCTCGTAACGGCATTACTAGCGGATGCGCGCAATAACAGTTGGGGGTCTAGGATGCCACCAGGTATGGCGTGTCGATGGCTCGTTATTCCGCTGCCTGAGCCAGCGCCTATGTATTCATCCATCTCCGTGAAACTGGGGAATGAGAAAGACGTCTAAGCCTTATTTGGTCAATGTAAAGGGGTTGCAAAGTCGTAGGTTTGTATATCAAGAGCTATAGATCGCAGAGTGAGCGTGAAAGTGTGAGCTCAAAGGGGTCGGGCACATGTGTATTTGTACTCGGGCTTGGAGCAAGACTTGGCAATGTGTTTGCCTAATTGTGGCGTTCTTCAGCTCTATGATTCGTCTTCCACGCGAGGTTGACCACTGGGCTGAGATAGCACAGCCTCGTAGGGAAGATGCGTATGTGTACTGCATCATTCACACGTGCTCATCCGCACTCCCAGACGACGAGATAAGAATGTACACACAAAGAATAAGCCCTTTACTATTTCAGCCACTCCCACCTGGCTGCAAGGGGCGAATACGCCGCTTAGAACACACGTTACATTCAATTTCTACTGCGCTCTACAGTGAGGCAGACATCGAGTCATACTCATTGGAATCTCAATCTAGCATGGCAACACCCAAAGCTTGTCTCCCCATATTGAATACAACCTTATCTTCTTCTTTCAACCTGTCGAGTTCACTTTTGACCTGTGGTAGCAGCATCTCATCAACAAAGCTCTGAATGGTCCCTGTGTGTGCGTTATACTGGGAATCAAAACGGACCACCATCTTCTCCAACACTACCTCAAGATGTTGATCTTCTACTGCGAGACGTTCCAACTTGTCTAGAGGGTATCTTGGTAGAGGCTGGCGTTCCAAATTTGGCTCTCCATGGTGTTCGATGTTGTAGATATTACAGCATGCATGGCGTATGCCTAGTAGCGAGAAGATGAACAGGCGTATGAACTCGGCAACGATCCAGCGATTCTCATTCCCTCTTGATGACACTGTAATGCAGTGCACAAAACGTTCAAGTTCCCAGCGACCTATACGCTGATGACTCGAAGGTGTAACCTTCACTCCGTTCTCCGGCCTCATCAATTCCTGGATTTCTGCCATGTATCCGACGTCAAATCGATATGAGCCCTTCCAGAAAGATGTGATACCAGTGCAGCCATATGTGCTACAACTACACTCGCATCTATCGAAAATGCGGTGTTGAAGCATTGTCGTAATTCTGCCTAGACAGTAATTATTCAGCGGCGTTTTCCATGTGAGTAGGGCTGCTTTTGCACCCATACAATGCAATGCTGTAGTTTCAGAACCTGGCCAGCACTCGGTAAGCCTCGCTCCTCTTGAGAGAAACCAATCCACAATCCTGAAAAATCCCTCGGACGATTTGTGGTGAAGGTCAAATCTCCGATACATCGTTATCGCAAATATCAACGGGGAACAGTATGTGTGGTGGTCGCAAGACGATGAATCTCCTTGGATGTCTTTAAAACCGGCGTCGTACAGCATCTGCAGTGTACACACAGAGCTGCTTGAACCACCATAGACCGCTTGATGTTCTCTGTAAAGCCTCGCGATGTTGTATACGCTGAATCGATATGGACGAAGAGATGGCGGTATTTTGTAGCACTGATTCTCGATCGCGTCGAACGTGCAGATAGCGTGCGTGTCAAGCAGGCCATTTGAGCGCATGGCGCATGAACTTTGAATACCCAAGTCTTCTACTATCTCTTGAATACGACGTCTTTGTTCGACTAGGTGTGCCACAAGAATGTTTGCGATGTCTTTTTGTTGACATACTCCGGACGCGTAAACGATAGCAACCTCCAAACTGCCAATGTAAGGAAGATGTGATGTCTCCGCGTCATCGCGCACTGCTAGCCAAAAAAGAACCATTTCCAGATTCTGAGACTCGACAGCGTCATTCAAGATGGTGTTATAGATGGTAGTATAGAGCAGGTGTGGCCGTTCTGTCTGGTGCTGTGGAGGTATGTAATCGTATCCGGCGTCAAGCAGATGCCTGCATCCAGGCACCCAACCCATGCGTGTCATCATCTTGTAGAGTTTTACCGCATGGTTTGCGTCGCAAACATAGTTAGCATAATCTCCTTGTACAGCCTTCGCAAAATCATCTCCCGACCTCAACAACGCCGCGCTCAAAGCGACATCATGAACACCCAAGAATGGGTCAGCAAAACTATCGAAAGATATGGCTACCCAAGAACCGTAGCTGTCGTACAAAGCTTCGTGTTGGCATTTTCCAGATATCTTCAAGTCATGCTGTAGGAGATCTGTCACGAGTAAATTCCAACTGTGATCGGCTGGATCTGTGGCGCCCAACAGAAGGTCCACGCACGTGCTATAGTCGCTCCTTTAGCGATACTCAGATTCTTTGTGACATGCATACTAACCTTCCTTGATCGTCAGTATCCGATGCATGGGTAGAGGACATGTAACACAGAAGATGTTTGAGTACTTTTCGCCATTCGTCCACTTCATTAGGACGGAACGTCCATACGCTCCGGGAGATTCGGTAGCACAAGTACTCACAATATTTAGCGGTGCCACGGATAGCAGTGTAGGGCGCACTTGACTTACATGTAATAGGGTCTGTCCGTTATCCAAACGATCGTGCGGCGATGATTCACGCGATTGGAAGATCCTCGATAGTTCTGCCAAGTTATGGCGAACTGCTCTTTTGGATGGGTCAGTGCTAGTCATGGTTGCAATGACCTTGAAAGCAGCTGAACAGCTTTCCGAGACAATCTGGCTGCATGTCAGACTTGGCGTTAAGGAGAAGGTACCAGCTCCTGCAGACAAGACTATCAGCATGCGGAGCTTCAGGCCGAAGATGAGATAGCTTAATATCAAGCCAAAGCTAAAGTTTATCGCACATGATTCGGGTAGCCAGAATGGACACGAGCGATCATGACGATACTGTCTTTCCAGGGAGAGTACCACAGGTCGTCGCAACATGTGGTGCTTCTGAAAGATTCCGCGGCAAGTGCAGGAGGTCGAGACTGGCCTTCGTCTCACTCGTGAGAAGTTTGTACGCATCTTTTGCGTACAGCTCTGTAAATATGCCATCTCATTTTCCAACCCGACTGCCGATATTGGTAGTAGAGTGGGGGCTAGAGATGCCTACACTGAAGTTCAGCTAGGCTCTGGAACCCGGTTCTCGCTGATTGTATGTTCAATCATAGGGTGTTCCTGGCAGTGGAGCTCACATACCTGCACATGAGGTTCAACAAGGGTTTGTGTAGAACTGTACAGTCCCTTACTCATGAGATGGCTGGGATTCGGCGACCGGTTCTCGTACATGAAACAGCGATTGGCTGAACTTTGTGCGTATCTCTGCTGATCGATAATCATCTGAATACCGGAATCCGTGTCGAACGAGAGTTGACTAAGCTGTGTCTGCAGAGTCGTGAAGTATTGCTGCTGCTGATCACTGAGACAGTTAGCCAGGTAGTCACTGCAGCTCTGATCGAAGGGGCTTTTACGTCATCGATGTAAGCAACGCAATCTGTAGACTCTGCTGAATACTAGTCAAGACATCTTTCCAGTACTTGATCTCGCCTTCCTTGAAGGGGTACGCCAGTCGCTTGATAGCATTCCTGGAACGGGACCAGAACCGTCCGGAGCTCGTTTCCGGGATCGCATCTCCAAGCCTTGCCCGAATCGTTTCGATGGCGCGTGCGCATTCATGGATACTGGTCTTGGTTAATGCGATAGCCGTAGTGTTGACCAGCTTGCTGATGATTGTTTCCAAATTCTCGAGATGGTTCACTAGCGTATCCAGTTCGCGAGTTATCTGCTCAGCCCTCTTTCTTGCGTCTTTGACGCTATTTGTGTATTTGGAGAATTGATCGAATAATTGTATTGAGAGTGAGATCACACCAACGATAGTGCCGGCCACTTCGGCCATGGCGGGCGTACACAGAGATGGAAGGAGCGACGAAGCGAAAGGCTGGAAAGTGGGCAGATGATAAGACTTTGTAAGAAGGCGCAGCACAGCTCTGCGCTTGCCGCAGATGGCGTCCACTCATCGGAGTCGGCAATGCGGGGATCAGCCCAGCCTTGCGACGATGTCAACCTTGCAAGCTTTCAGCCTCAACTACGTGTCCGTTTGGTAAATTCGAGGATTCCGGCGGGATGAATGGCATTTCAAGCATCTCGCAAGTGTTTCTTACTGCGCAGGGAATGCGTCTAGCGTTGAATGCGGTGCTCAGTTTACTGTACACCACTCCCATATTAGGTTGAGTGTTTCTAGATGTCGATAGGCAGACAATGGGCCCAGGTTTCTGAACTGTCAGCACCAACGGGCAGCGTACGCAATTGACTCGCGATGACTGGATCGCAAAATGAAGTCACAAACACCCACGGCAGCATTGCTTACATCGTTGAACAACTTCGTGCATTATCAATTCTTAGCCCATCCCCAACAGACCCTTAAGTCTAGCTACCTTCCCCATAATAATACCCTTCAGTCCTCCAGCACCCATGGTAGGCACCTCGTCCACGCCCACAAAGCGCCTAACAAGCAGATTGAATATATTACCAAAGCCCAACGCCATAACCGTACTAGTCAAGATAATAACGTTATACGGCATACTGAAATCCGGCGTGGGAAGAGGAAGAAGCAGCGAAGTAGTGCGAACGTAGATACCCTTGTTATCGCCTGACTGCGGTGACAGAATACGGATAACAGCAGGTGCGACGTCGAAGCCTCGATTCGCATCTGGTGGGTACTCTGTGTAGCGCAGAATCGCTTTCTCGAAGTCGTAAGTGAGTGTGAGGCTGGAGGCTGGTGGGATGACCATGCGTAGCTCGAGGTGGGTGCCGCGCTTGCGGTCGACGGCTGGGCGGTAGTAGGTCTCTTTGATTGGGCTTTCATCCGTGGTGTCGACGCCAGCTTGAAGCGTGTGGAGGTAGGGCTTCATGAACCAGGGCAGAGACTCTAGGTATACTATCTCGACTGCGTTGGTGGTAGACGGGTTCTTGATGACGGACTGTGTACTACCGCGTTCCTGGCCGTGGCCGTTGATGGATCTTGCCGCGAAGACTAGAGGATCGGGACGGACAAGACCGGTTTTCATTTTCTGCTCGGGTAGGACGAGGTCGAGGTCTTCGCCGATGGGGAGCTTGTAGCATCGGAGGGTGTCTGATGCTAGTCTAGACTCTGTGAACTCTCCTGTTGTCTTGACCTCAAGTTCGCGCTCTGGCGGCAAGTTGATGCAAACGTTGTTCGCTTCTCCCTCAGCCTGATCCGCGAGTGGACAGGCTCCCCTGAGCGGTCTTCCAAAGACCTCCTCCAGTGTCCAGGCGGGCTCGGTGCCCTTGTTCAAGGGATAGCAGGTATCGTGCCCATTGTATGGCTTGGAGGTATCGCATTCCATCTGATTGATGGGTAGAGGTCGCGGAATAGGGTTGTCTCTAGGTCGCTTGGCTCGCGCAATGTCCAAGACCATGTCTACGCTTTGCTCCATCTCTATTGAGCAACTTGTGCTACCCTCTTCGCACGTTGGCCGCACATCGATGGCCATGGTTTGGAACGAGGCGTCGAATAGCTTGTGTCCGTCCAGTAGGCTGGATACACCGGCCTTACCCTTACACGGTAGTAGCTTGAGAAAAGGTGTAAGGTTCTCCGTGCAGACGACTTCGTGGGGTAGCGTACCATGGAGGAGGTGAAGATTGGACGAGTTACGGTGTTGGCCTTCGGGGTCGAATGACATGACGGGCCGTATGGTTTTGGTAGCATCGATGAAGTTGATCGAGGCGCAAAAGAGGCCTGACAAGGCGTTGGTAAGCTTCAGCCATCGTGCAAATGCTCTGCTATGGTCAGCGTGAATCCTTCCTGTCATCCATAGAGAACTTACTCCTCCTCAGTATCAGCCTCAACCCAAGCCCACAGTTCAACACCAGTCCCTCCTTCTCTTGCGCCGTTCCATGGCCGTTGTCCCCAGTTCTCGGCATCCCATCTTCCAACACTGAACCTCAAATGTAGTTCCCTCGTGTGCGCATGCTGCAGAATCTGACCAAAGGATCGTGGGAAGTATCGGAAGTTTTGTTGTTCGAATGCAGTCGCGCTTTCGTTGCTCCGGAAGTTGAAAGAGGCCAGAAGGGTGTTCTGGGGAAGGGGTCGCAGGAGGAGGCGCTCGCTGTAGTCGGCGCCCGCAGAGACGAAAGCGATCAAGGCATTGAGCAACACAAAGTAAAAAGACGAGAGCATCGCAGCATCGTAGCGCTCTCTACGCGAAATGTGAGCGGAAAGACTGACGATAGGCCCTTGATGTTGGGGTTGCGGCGGACATGTGGAGTGAAGGCGCCCCACCGGTGATTGGTCACCCGGCGTGGATACTTGGCACTGCCGCGGTCGCGATTTCTTTTGGCTGTCACTCACCTTGCAGCTCTCCACATCACGACCCAACCGCGCATTCCTAATATCTACACATCATGGCCGCCGCAGAGACGCGTAGGCTGCTTGGTAGGTCTCCCCAAATCACTATTACTAATACAACACAATGCTAACGCGACACAGAGCAGCTTATGGGCGAACAGCTCATGAGCGGAACCGACCAGCGCGCGCCCCAGCTAAACATCAACGACACCAAGGTCTGTCGCTCCTACCTCGTAGGCAACTGCCCCCACGACCTCTTCACCAACACCAAGAACGAACTGGGTCCCTGTTCCAAGGTGCACAATGAGGCGCTCCGGACCGAGTACCAGGAGGCAGACGCGGAACAGAAGCGCAAGTGGGGATTCGAGTTTGACTACATGCGCGACATGCAGCATCACATTGACAGCTGTAATCGCAAGATAGACACTGCCCAGCGCCGCCTGGAGAAGACGCCTGAGGAGATCAGGCAGACCAATGCTCTTGTAAGTATCCCGGCCAGGGGACCTGCACTATCTGCTCACGCGCGACAGCTCAAAGCGATCAACGAACTGACCAAATCGATCGACGCCGGTATGCTCGAGATCCAAATCATGGGTGAGGAAGGCATGGTCAACATGGCCGTCCAAGAGTTCACCAAGGTCCGTTACAAGAAAGCCGAGAAGGAGGAGCGCGAGAGGGAGCTTCGGGCTCTATCAGACACCGGAGGTCCATCTGGACACCAGAAGCTTCAAGTGTGCGACGTATGTGGTGCGTATCTCAGCCGTCTTGACAATGATCGGCGTCTAGCAGACCACTTCTACGGAAAGATGCATCTCGGCTATGCTCAAATGCGCAAGTCCTACGAAGCCCTGACCAAGGAGCTCAAGGACCGCCAGCCACCCCGCAATTCCTACGCTCCCTCCGGCGGCGACATGGACCGAGGCGGCGGTGGAGGTTGGGGAGGAGGTGGTGGTGGATACGGTGGCGGTGGCTTCCGTGGTGGACGAGGAGGTCGTCGCGGAGGCAGAAGAGGCGCTTGGTAAATATCCCTGGAATTTGGCGTTAAGGTGTGTCTATGCGATTCCCAAAAGGTTCGGCTTACAGCAGTATTGATGCGAAGACTACCGCGACACGGCGGTACTTGTACAACAAATGGCGACTATGGAGGCCCATTCGGGCGTATGAGCTTGAGACAGTCCAATCAGAACATGTACGCTTTTCTCCAACATGCACCTGACATGCTTCTAACCACCGTCAAGGGATTTCTGTGCGATCGCTGGCCACTTGGAGGAGATGGGACCTTCCCGCCTGCTATACGTTGTCGCAGGTGAGTTGCGCTTTCTGTGGCATGTTTCTGCAATGTGACACGCAACATTTGGACCTGGTCATGACATGTCTGATACGAACCGCTTATTGATTTCGTAAACTCACACCATAAGCCCGACTTTCCGGCCTATACGCATTTCGAGGTAAGTCGTAGAAGCATCGAATATACCCACTTGCTGTATGGTCAGCCGCATTCGCAGCATGAGAAATTCGCAGATCTCGAAATATCTCTGCATGCTCGTTGTCATGACCTTGGCCAGCTCGAATCTGGCCTCTTCGTATATATGTGGCTCGCTCAGCTCTTGGTTGATTAATATGTCAAATTGGGGTTTCAGTTATCCACAACGGATAAGTCGACGATTGCACAAGACAAACGATGTGTATATACACCAATGCATTCCTCTAGAATTCTATATACAGTCCAAGGGGGTATTCGCTAGCCACTGTGGCTTAATGGGTATCGTTATTTGCGGGCATTCGCCCAACATCCTGTGCTCTCTTCAGAACATGTACTCGCGCCAAAGAAAAGCGCAATCCACACATCATCTTCCCCATCACCATCTAAGCAGTGCCGTAGTTCCTGAAGTTCTCGCAAGGCAGATAGTTGTTCTCGATGAACGCCGAGCTAAACCTGATGCCATACGCGCACTCAAACTCCTGCTCGCTTTCAAGTGGGAAACCACTGACTTTGACGGTGCCCTTGACAGTCTCAATTTTGTTGGGGCTTGTTGTCAAGCTGGTGTTGAAAAGACGGATCATGTTATCGCATTGCTTGCCGTCGCCGAACATGACCTGGTTGGTGACGTTCATGAAGAAACCCAGCGGGTACTTCTCCTCCGACGTAAGTGACAGCTGTGTGCTAATGGATGCGGCGCCAGCCTCAGCGCTCGTCGCCTCGAACGATGTCGTTCCAGGCTCCTTAGCGTCGGGAACCGCGCTGTATGCATCGCAAGCAGGCTCGAACAACGACGGGTAAGTCTTGATTCCGTAATCCGCAGCGCCTTTCAGCGCAATGACGTTCTCAGCCGACATAACCAGCGATGGCGTCCACTTGAAGGACGTGGCATTATCGCCGAGGAGATCGAGGAATGGGAATTCGATGCCACCACGCTAGTCAAAGTTAGCACTACTACCGCGGATCACGATCTAAGGTTAGGCGCATTATCGTACCGAGAAGTCGGGTATTTGAAAGCCGAAAGCTTGTACGCCATGGTCGTGGACTG